AATAGATTGATCACCTATTAGTAATGATTAGAGGTTAATAATGCTGAGCTAGAGTTCTTACTAAGTAGGACAATAAAGGTAGCCTAGTTGATCTAGCTAATCTTTAGACTTGTAACTAATAGGGTTTTGTATATAAACTACTTAGTTCTAAGTCTTAAGTTAAGCTTTTCCAAACTTAGTTACTGTATTTTACAATTCCTAACATTCAGTCCCTCCTAAGTAATACTTTCTTGAATAGTATTACTACTATTGTAAAATACTTACTTTATAATTAATAGGGCTAGGATTTAATTTTGGGTAGGATTTGTGTTCTTCCCCCCTTTCTGTTTCCTTTGTTTTGTATGTTCTGTACTAGTATCTTTTCCTTTAAATACTTTCCTGTTTATAGTCTGCCTCTTTTGTATTCTGTATTAAAGTGAATATAAATACCTTTTCCTTTCATTTTAGCTAATTTTTATAGCCTACTTTTATAGCTGAAAAGTGAGAGCCACACTTGTGAGTATAGTTTTCCTTTTAATAGTTGTAACTAGTTAACTTATTAAAAGGGCTTCTACCTTTGCCTTAGTTACTATAATTCTACTTTTAGTATTAGTCTGTAATATGAACTAATGTGTTCTCTACCTCCTAGTTCTTTACTAGCTAACTCTAGTTTGACTAGTATTTAGACTCTCTAACTAAAATAGTATACTCTAAAGACTAAATTTAACTAGTAGGAAGTTATTCCCTCTTATTTGTAGTTTCCAGTTTAGTTACCCTCTTTAGTTTTACTTCTGTTCAGAAGGTGTGTATAGAGCACCTTATTATATGTTCTTATGAGTATAAAGGAGACATATAATATACTAATACTCTTTTTATCCTTGTATTAAGAGTAATTTTCTGATTTACTCAAATCATATTATTATAACAATCTAGTACTTCAGATTTGTTATAAGAATAGTTTAATGTTTTGTTCAGAACATTACTCACTCAGTTAAGAGCTACTATACTACAATTTTCCCTATTGTAGAAATAGTTTAATGTCTTATTCAGGACTTAACTTACTCAATTAAGAGCTACCTTACTATAACAATCTCTTTTCCCTTAGATTTATTATAGAAACAGTTTACTGTCCTATTTAGGACCCAAATACTATAATATTCTTATTGTTCAAGATCTATTATAGGAATAGTTTAATATTATATTCAGAACCCTATACTATAATATTCTTATCCTTTAGAATTTTGTAAGAATAGTTTAGTATTATACTTAGAACATTTTCTATTATACCTTTACTGTATCTAGAGTCTGTTGTCTCCTCCTATAGGAGTGACTCCCTTTTTGATAGTTTCTCTTAAGAAGTTTTTGTCTTCCTTACTTTTTACTTTCAAAAAGTATTTACTCATAATTATTTCCTATATTCTTCTAACCTATAGTTTGTTGACTACTTCTGCTTCTTTATACTATACTATGTATTTCTGTCTTATTTGTTTAATAAGAGCTCTTAGTATTCTATCTGGATCTATAATATTGTTTATATCTTCTTGAGTGAATTGTAGTTATATTTCCTATTATCTTTCAAGTTGTTGTATAATAGAATCTCCTTGTATAGTATTGTGTTCCTTTATTTTACTATACTCTTCCTTACAATTAGTGTGTTCCTCTTCTAATTGTAATGTTTTTATATAGTATGTACTATAGTCTTCTTTAGATTCTTCTGTGTCCCAAGTATTATTTCTCCTTTTCTAAGGTTACTATCTCTTATAATTACTTGTTTGTCTCCTTTTTGTTGTTAGAGGTTGGTTTTCTATAATAGGTTTGTTGTTTAGCTAAAGCTTTTCCAACCCTTCTCTAATTTCTTTTGTACTTGAATCTGAAGCTAGAATACTAAAGTATTCTAAAGATTCTGATTTCCTTTTCATCCAGTCTTTCTACATTTGTTCCTCTTATAGAACTATGTCTTCTGTGTCCTATTCTTTAACTAGTATTCTTTTACTTATTAGTAAACCATACCCTAGTCTCTTTGTTAACCAGTTTTCTAAGTATAGTAACTTTACTACTGTTAGATAATTTATGTGAAATTCTCTAATTAACTTTACTGAATTGGTTAATCCTTTTCTAAATAGTTCCTAAGTATTATTTATGTCTGAATAGTCTAACTATTTAATCAAATATTAATATTTGTTCCTCCTTTTCCTACTATCTAAAATGTTTTCTACTGTGTATTCCCATTCCTTATTAATTAACTCTGAGTCTGAATTAGTATACACTTGTCTTTCTGAGTATTCCTTTTCTTTATAAGGTATTAACAATCCTGAGTAGAAAACTAAATAAATATTTATCCCTTCTAGTAGTTTTAACTTGTAATTTACTACCCTTATTTGTTTTTCTATTTCAAATGGTCCTATATACCTATTTGCCAACTTTCTAGTTAGTACTACTAGATTTAAGTTTTTACTATCTAGTAAAACAAAATCCCCTTCCTTTAATTCTAGAAGATTTCCTCTGTATTTGTT